CGAAAATGACACTTCAAATAATCATTAGGTTTTTGTAAACATCTTGGAATTGCCATCATTACAAAAAAACCCACCCAACCGTGGAAGTGCTGCTTCCCCTTTTCCTTGCCCTTTGAGTTTAGAGATGGCAGATATTGCCCCTTGGATTGCTGGGTGCCAGCTGCGCTCACCGCCGGTGTGTGTGCTTCCAGCCTGCTCTAGGCTCAACACGGAGCCAGCGAGGTCTGAACCTTCATAAAGGTCTTCAAAAGCCTCTTGTTCTACTCCCGTCTCGTTTTGTTTTAACCTGAGATTTGTTTTCCCAAAACCGCTTGTCCTTATTTTTGGCAAAGCACACGGATGTGCAGCTGAGCTGTGGATAAGCCAGGAGAGCTCAGACGGTCACGCCTGGCTGGTACGGTGCGGTAACCGAAGCTTTGGTGGGAAAGGGTTGGGCAGACGCGGTGGAGGGCAGGCTGGCACGAAAGCTAAAGGCATTACCTGGAGTGTTGTCCTTGTCACGGCTCAGCTGGGGGACACTAACTTGCTATGTCACAGTAACACAAAACATGCTTTGGCCAGATGGGAATAATTTTATTTCAAGCAGCAAAGAACGTCCTTATAACCTGGAAGCAAGAGGAAAGAGGGTGTGTAAATAACGTGGTTGGAGCTGTCTGGCTCTGTGGTATTTGCTATTCCTAATCAGTAATCACCCCAGCTCCCCAGTAGTAAGTACTGAAGGTAGGCTGTCCCAGAAGATGTTTTTGTAACAAAACCTATTGCCCCTTAATTTTATAGGTGCTCTGTGAGGGTGAAGCTAAGCTGAAAGGCCACCACAGCTGTCTTCGCCAGGGGAATACTTCAGCTTTCTGGCATTAAGGACTAAAGCAATAATCCCACAGGTATGTTGTAAGTATATATAGCAACCAGTAACCGCCACTCATATTTTACAGGCAAAATGTTATTCTGCAGTTGTAAACTGGCATTGCTATGATGCTAACATACAAGAATTTTGCTTCTTGCTTATTCCGTAATTTCTTGAGATTAATTTTTTAAAATGTAGTTCTTCCCAGTGCAGGAATTATGAACCCAGGGTATTATTATGTATTTCAGAGTGTAACAGCAGAGGGAGCATGATTTACCATTTAGCATAAGAAGTTTTTCATTCTAGGTTTAAGTCAGGAATCCAGTCTGTTTATAATTTCCATGCTGTGCATATTGGCAAACTTCCAAAGAAGCAAGCTGTAAACATAGATATTTTTCCTATGACTAGTTCTGATTTTTTTGTGTATGGTTTTCTGTATGTCTGAGAAATGAGAGTGTGGAGTATTGGTAGGAGGCATGTTCTAGGGTGATCTTGGAATAGTCAGCCCCCACAACTCTGAGATAATGTCTGATTTTAATTAAATTGCTGATATTAATTGAAAGAAACAGTTTGCTGAGGGTAGACCATTTTTATATTAAAAAACCCCTTTATGAACAGGAAGTTTTTTTAACGCTGTACAAGCATATGGAAGGTTATGTTAAGTATCATGATATACTGGAATTATGGGCTTTGCACAGTAAGATGCAATCTGAATTGTAATGCTGAAAAATAAGCTCCAGTGGAAAAAGAGCATGATGCCTTGCTGCCTTCACTAACAGCGTGGGGTTTGACTCTAGTCTGCTTCATATGGGGCGAGCTTGCAGATGCTGCAGAGTAGGATGCCAGCAGATTTGCTGTGCCTTAGACTAGCATGAATTTTCTTGCCTGCTGGAGTACAGAAGAAATATTCTTTGCTATGTTTTTTTAAAAAAAAACCTGTTGAGAGCTAATAAAAATGCTCATGGTTTGTAAGGTTGTTATAACGAAGGATAACACAAGGCATTCTGTGTTAGCAGAAATGCATGCAGTTTTGCATGAATGTGCTGTGTCCTTAGTGCGTGCAAATGAACAGCTTTTCCTCTTCTCTTGGCTTGCCTTGAAAAATACAAGGCACTCATGTTGTATTATTTGCTAGGCAATTATAATTGTTTTCAGATGCTTGTTAAGCCCTTTGGCGAGAAAGGTAGTGGTGTTGGCATAAGCTGTTTTAAGCAGTAAATACAACATGTACTGGAAGAGGGAGCTGGGAAGCAGATGAAGAGAACTTGCTTCTGAGGAGGCACCTGATGTTGCAAGGGAGTGATGCCTTTCCTGCCTCTCTGGGTCTGACTGAGGACTAGCTATTTGTAGCAAGGTACCTGACTGCACAGGCTGTGTCATGAAATTCTGATGTGAGGTTCAAGATACGATGGTGCGGTCTGGGTGGGGCGCTTAAATCCAAAGTTCTGTGCGTCACAGGAGTGGTTGAACATTGGGGCATCTGAGTTCACGCGAATGATGGATTTTGGCCCTTGAATTACTTGTTTTGAAGTCCTCAGCCAATGGTGAAGGTTTGCTTTCTTAGGATAAAATTAATATGTTTCCTTACTATGTAGTAATTTTTAAATAGCTTTATAGCTGCTGTAATATGCCAGGCATCTCCTGGCTAATGTGTCAGGCTAATCTGCAAGAGTTGAAATGCTGCTACAGGCTGGATGGTTTTTATGGCTGCTTTTCTTAGAGGTATTGGGAGAAGCTCTTCCTTGGCAACATCCGGAAAATTGGTTTACAGTTCAGCCCATTTTTGGCTCTAAATAAATATGTAAGCAATCTTGGAGTTTCTTGTTTGTATTATTTTCCACTTAAATATAATCAGCCTTATTACCTATAGCTGTCACTCCTGATAGCAAGTTATTGCCTACTTTTGAAGCTTCATTTTTTGTGGAGGGGAAAGGGGATGAAGCCAGCTGCACAGCCAGTTCAGTGCTGCTTGCTGTGCGTGCAAGCAGTTAAGGGCAGTGTGTGGAAGGCACTGGCATTTGGAGAAACCCCAGACAAACCTGTCTCATGCAAGAGTCCAACCTCAAATTGCTGTTTGAGGAGGGACCGTTCTTCAGAGCCTGGCATGTGGGCCTCAGCTGTATGTGCACCAAGAACCCATCTGTGGCCTGAGGTGACTTTGAAGTAGTGATTTGCTTGTTAGGTTTCACCATGGTACTTTAAATTTAGATACAATGTGGAAGCAGCTATTTTAGCAGTGACTTTCCCAGGTGCCTTTAGTAGCATAGGCAAGCACTGAAGAGGAAACAGGCTGTAGCCCTTATCTGTGTCAATCAGCTTGTAAGCTGTTGCATTGTGATGGTTCAGAAAAATGCTACATTAATTAGAATTTGACAGTATCTAGTTATGATACTTTGTCTCTCTAACTTTATTCACCTGTAGCATAGTGTGGCTGTAGGTGTGAAGGAATGGAACCAAACCAGGGAATAGTAGTCTGTCCTAGTTGCTTGGAAGAAACTATTGCTGTATGCTCTGGAAAAAAAACCCCAAACAAATCCCAACCCAAAGCCTAGGTCTGTTAGGAGTAATTAAAATTTGTCATGTTGCAGAGAATGTCTGATGGCCTAAGATACTGACAGAGCAGTGATTTCTGCTGTGATCCGACCTTGGTATTGATAACATTCTGAAGCAGTGAGTTGGCAGTCTCAGACCAGGGATGATGTGGGTTTTTGACTGTAACTTCATATGGCTCAATGAAGTATTGCACACTTAGTGCTTTCTCTTCACTTTTGAGCTGTTACACCCGTTTTCCCTCTTACCCAACTGCATCGCTACCTTGAATGTGAGCTGCCTTGGAGTGGCTGTGAGGTAATGTCATCAGTTGTGGACTGGAAACTGAAATGCAGACTTAAAGAAATACTTTTGCAGAGGCTGA